ATGAAAACCTGAGTATTATAGGGTTACCATGTGAAAGTACACAGATTCTTAAATATCTTCCCACTTCCTAATTTTTTTTTTTCTTCCGGAACCAGGAATCGAACTCACAGCCTTGTGCTTGCTTACCAGGCAGGCGCTGTGCCACTGAGCTAAATCCCCAGCCCTCACCTCCTAAATGTTACAGTTATCATGTAATCATCACTTCACCATTAACAAGACCATTCTCCTGTCTCACTAGCTTTCACATTCAAGAAACTTGATACACTATTATTACCCAATATAGTCCAAGTTCCAGTTTCCCCAGCCTTTCCTTACAAAGTATTCTCCCCAGTCCAAGCCCCAGTCAAGGCTCACACTGGGTACTTAGCTGTCGTGTTCTCACCATCTTAGCCCCTGCCCTTTGGTACTGGGGACTGAATCCGGGATCCTCGCACTGAGCTGCATCCCCGGCCCTTGATCTTTCAGGTGGGGTCTCGCTGAACTTTCCATCTTCTGGGCACAGCCTCCCAGAGTGCAGGGGTTACAGGCGTGCGCTGACACACCGGGCTCAGAACACTTTTTGTTTTTTTTTAAAGAATCCAGGGCAGGTGTTTGCATAGCGCACTTTAAAGAATTATACTGATTTTCTCTAGAGATTTAGTTCAAATTAAACATTATTTGGCAGAACTCTTAGGTAGGTAATATTGTGTCCTTATGAGTTGTATGTTTTAAAAAGCGGAAAAACAATTACCACTGAATGCCAATTATGTGAGGGTTATTATAGATAACAATTATGTAATGATAATAATCCCATGACGGACTGTGGCAGACCTGGAGCTTTGCCATTCAGACCTCCCTTCAGGAAAGTTCAAAATTAAGTCAATGTCTAAATATTTTTTAAAATGTTACAGTAAAAGACACAGTGCAGTTAATCTCCTTCATTTTATTCCCCCTGGCTTTGAAAAAAATGTATCTCATTATTATTGCTATTTTCTGGAACAATTCTGGAGGTCCTCTTTCACAAGCATCTTTACTAGATGTGATCAAAAATACGGTGAATGCTGCTGTTGAGCACCAGCCAGCAGAAAGGCAGGCTCATTGAAAACATGACAGTGTGTCTTCACCTACCTTATGCATTAGGTCTAGAACTATGTAACTTCCAGCTCATTCCCAAAATCAAAATGACCATGAAAGGTAAACATTTTGAATTGATTCAGGACAGTGAGGCAGCCAGGACACAAAACCAAAGATACTCATTAAAGAGGACTTTCAGAACTGTTTCAGAAAGTGGCAAAAACTCATGTACGTACACACCTGTAACCCCAACACTTGGGAAGCTGAGGCAGGAGGATCACTGTGAGTTCAAGGCCAGCCTGGAATACATAGCATGACCCTGTCTAAAAAAGAAAAGTGGCCAAAACCATGGGATAGTATGTCCAAAGCAAAAGGAACATCCCCGAGGGGGATTGATGACAAGAAGTCTTTTAAACACTTAACTGTAGCTTTTGGTCACACCTCAAACTTGCTGCCAGCTGGGGACGTGGCTGCTGACAGTTCTCTAGTTGTTCGCCCCTCCGGGGTCCAGCTGAGCTGGCTCTTTCCAGGTAGCTGCTAGTCAGTACAGAACAAGGCTTAGTGACAGTACAGATTCTTGGCCATTTCTACCAATGCAGGGCTGCTCCACTGGGTATTCTTAGCTCCGCATGTCCTGGCAGGGCAGGCAGATACTTCATTAGGTCTACACCACTCAACTCCTTCTTGTTCATTCCAGCTTCACTTTATTTTTAAATGCCATCCATTCGTTCATTCATTCATTCATTCATTCACAAGTGCTAAGGCCTGCAGCAGGGCCTGACGCACGCTAAGCATGCAGGGATGCTCTACCACTGAGCTCCCCAGGAGGGCACCCTCACTTCCTGTCGCTGTGTTACCCCACAACAAATCTAACGCACTTCTAACATCTCAGGATCCGTTTCCTGGAAAACACAACCTGCAGCATTTTCATTTAACAAATGAAGACAATTACAGATTAAAGAATTGTAAGTATTGCTCCAAATCACAGCTGTAAGTGACACAGCTACTAGGAATTTTTTTGGTTTTGTTCTTTTTGAGACAGTCTCACTATGTAGCTCCAGCTGGCCCTGAACTCATTACATAGTGATGCTCTTGCCTCCGCCCCGCGTGCTGGAATTACAGGTGTGCGCCACCATGCCTAGCTATTACTAGGATTTTCATTGAGACAAAGTGACTTCAAAAACTAATCACTTTCATATTATAAATCAATTAGCAGCAAAGGAAACCACTAACAGAGTAAAGACAAAACCTACAGGATGGGAAAATATTTTTGCCAGCTACTCCTCAGACAAAGGATTAATACCTAGAATATATAAAGAACTAAAAAAAAAAAGACATCCCAAATTCAAAGATCCACTTAAAAAATGGGCCTCTGAAATAGACACTTCAGATGAAATACAAACAGCCAGTAAATACATGAAAAACTGTTTAACATCACTGACCATTCAACAAATGCAAATTAACACTGCGAGTGGATCTTCTGCCCTCGACATATCAACCAATAACAAATGCTGGTGGGGCTGTGGGGGACAAAGGAATCTTCTCCACTGCTGGTGGAACTGTAAGCTGATACAACCATTATGAGGGCCGGGGATATAGCTCAGCAGCACAAGTGCCTACCTGGCAAGCACAATGTCCTGAGTTTGATTCCCGGTACCAAAAAAAAAAAAAAAAAAAAAAAAAAAAAACCACTATGGAAATCAGTACGCAGATTCCTGAAAACACTAAATGTAAAAATTCCATTTGACCCAGGATGCCCCTTCTAAGTATCTTCCCAAAAGAGTTAGAGACATCATAGCACAGTGATGTCTGCACACCCAGGTTTACAGCAGTGCAATTCATAATAGCTAAATCTTGGAAACAGCCCATATGTCCTTCAACGGATGAATGGATTAAAAATGTGGTAATTACACACAATGGAGTACTCCTCTGCCATAAAAAAGAGTAAGTGAGTAATCTGTAGGAAAATGGATGTACCTTGAGGCCAAATATTAAGTAACTCAGACACACAAGCTTAAATATCACATGGCTTCTCCTATATGAAAAAAATATACACACACACACACACACACACACACACACAGGAATATTACAAAGTAAAAGACAGGAAAAAAAAGGTATTGTAATCCAGTATAGACAATGCACCTAAAAGTGCATCTTGATTTAGTACAACTGCCCTACATGTTTTATAGGTTCTTTGGCCTATTAGTCTGGTTTCTAATCCGTGTATATGATAATTAACTTTAAAAGGTCTTATAAATACATGAATCTGATGCTAGAAAAATAAAAGGGAAGGGGTAAAGACGGGACTTGAGATGTGTTATGTACATGCACCAATCCCCTACTATGACTGCAATCATTACATACTGCAAACATGTACTTATAAAAGTAAAAAAAAAAAAAAAAAAAATCACTGTGCTTCTGCCCCGCTGACAGTGCCATGGACTGGAATCCAGGGCTTCTTATTGTTTTGTTTTGTTTTGTTTTGTTTTGTTTTTTGTTTTTCTTCCGGTACCAGGAATTGAACTCACGACCTTGCGCTTGCCAGGCAGGCGCTGTGCCACTGAGCTAAATCCCCAGCCCCCAGGGCTTCTTACTGAGCTACATCCTTGGCCTCTTTTTATTGTGAGACAGGGTCTTAATAAATCGCCCAGGCTGGCCTTGATGCTCCTACTTCAGCTCCTCAAGTAGCTGGGATTACAGGAATGTACCACCATACCTGGCTAAATCAATGCACTCTTCAGCACGTTCTTTGACTAGTTTTCCTATTCCTCAGCCTAAAAATCTCTTAAGAAAATCATTCTTAGAAAAACCACTTACTTCACTTCATGTATGAACAAACATACAAGCCAACCCTTACTGACAGGTCTATTGGACTGCTCACCCTTTACTTATCACATGATGTACTTTGGCAATTACTTTTTTTTTGTCTTTTTTTTGAGACGGGGTCTAGCTATAGTCCAGGTTGGCCTCAAACTTGTGGCAATCCTCCTGCCTCAGCCTCTCGAGTATTGGGATTACAGGCATGCACCACCATGCCCTGCCAACAATTACATTTTATATAAGCATATTTTCATATGAGTATATAAAAATTACCTAAGTTCCTAAGGACTAGCATTCTTTCTTATATATCTTATTACCCTGTTACTATTAATGAATGTGGCTACCATAATCAGTTTCAAGGGGATTCACTGGGAAACAGTGTCTCACCCTGAGTAAGAGCCTGAGTATGGAGTCACACTGATTTAAGCTGGAGTCCCATAGCTGCCGCGTCTTTGCTCTGTGACTTGGGCAAGCAACTTAAGTCAGAAGATTGTCAAGAAGATTAAATGTAAGGAAAACAGCACTAGAGTGACTCAAACCGGGTAGGTATTTAATACACGCTAAGCACTATTTTTTAAAAAAAACACCTTTTTTTGATTAAGTGGCAAGCATCATAGTATATTCTGGTGACTGAAAGATCAAAAACATCACTGTGATTTAACATTACACAATGTATGCATGTATTCAACATTACACAGTATCTCACTGATGTGTGTAATTTTGTTTTATCAGTTAAAAAAAATAATTAAATCCTTGAGGACAATCACAGTGTAACTAAGAAAACACTAAACATTCATTTTTTTGTTTGCGACAGGATCTCTCTCTCTAGTTCAGGCTGCCTTGAATTCATTATGAAGCCCAGGCAAGGCTCAAACTCATGCCAATCCTCCTACTTCAGCCTTCCGGTGCAGGCATTATTACAGGTGTGTGCCACCACATCTGGCTCTAAAAACTACATCAACTAGATTTTAAGGGCCACTTGATAAGCTTATTTTATTAAACATCAAAACTTTACTATATCAAAGACTTATGTGCATACTTCTTAGCAAGGAATAATAAACATCAATATTAACAAACTACGCCTTCCACCTTTAGGTTGTCAAAGAAACTCAACATTCAAAGTATCCATTTTTAAACCATTTTATTGAACTATTTTTAATGTCACTTTAGATGGTATCAGCTGCCCCGAACTGAAACAAAGTCATCAAGAATGTTACTCAACATCCTCAACGTAATCCAGTATACGTTTCTGCACTTGGAATATAAACTTTTGACATTACATAATCAAGCAAATAGTGGTGCATACTATATTATTCAAAAAGACTTTATGCATTTCTCATTAAAAAACCATTTTGCAAGTGGCTTCAGCTTTATCAACAGTCTCATTGACAGATTCCACACTTCATGCTCTCAAAATGAAAAGTGGCCTAAAACTATAGGTTTTTTATTTACTAACATTAATGAATACTATTCAGGGTTATAGGAATTTAAGTTTAACATTTTAAATATAAGCGGCAATAAGTTACTGATACTTGCTAACAAATTCCACTCAATCTAAATACATCCATGATACATTCAAAAAAGACGTTTTGTAAATTTTAATATGCTATTTTATATGCTGCAGTGCAAACGAAGTGACACACTAATGTTTCCTGAGCTTTAGGAAATTAACAATCCTCTGACTACTACTATGAATTTCAAATAGGCTCCTTGTTATACTAAGCCATGTCCAAACTATACAATCAAATGAGGTTTCTGGAGAACTGAAAAGATTGATTAGTTATGGTGGGTTAGGGTAATGAAAACGTTTTTTGAAAGCAAAAGTATGTACAACACTACAAAGGATATTATGGATCTGCATGTAGTACAAAGGTCAAAGATAACCTACTGATTACCAATGGATCATAACTGTCCCTTCTCTTTCAAAAATATTACACCAAAAGACTTTACGGTAAGCTCTTTAGCATTAAATATACCAACTTCTAGTATATTACATATTTTAACATATTCCTCCATAATGCCCAGTAAGAAGTAATAAATGTGGTAAAAGATGAAAAATCAAGAAAATAAACATGCTTTAAGGAATGTTGTTGCATGGGTGCTTGTCAAAAGAAGTGAAAATGATTTCTCTTTAGAACTCTCTACAGCCTCAAAGTTATAAAGATCGGGTTTCTACTTCAATCTTTTCTTCTCCTTGTAGTGTGTCAGGATCAATATGAACAACTGGAGGTCGTAGGATAACTTCAGGCCCTCCACCATATATAGACTGGAGAAAATTCCATGTTTCTTCAGAAATTTGACCAGAATCTGCTCCTAAAATTACGTGTATGTAGAAAGAAAAATGTTTATAACCTACACATGCAAAGCACACAAGTTTTGTAATGAACCCACCAGCACAAATCCTCTAGGAATGCTTGAGAACTTCTGAAACATGGCAGATGACCAGCTGGGAGCATTATAAGCTGCCATGAATGATCTTTCTTTAGAAGCTTGGTTTTATTTTTTGAGACAGGGTCTCACCACACAGTCGTGGCTGCACTTGAACTCACTGTGCAGCCCAGGCTGGCCTGGAACCCACGGTGATCTTGGGCTTCAGACTTCAAAAGCTGAGATGTGTTTTCCTAGCTCCTAGCAACAGTCTTAAAGCTTTTCCTCAGATTAAAAAATTAAACACTAGCTGTGTTCCACTGTTTGACAATTCAAACGTGAACTTCTCTCTCCCTCCCTTTCTCTCTCTCCCTCCTTCTTTCCTTTGGCATCACTGAGGACCAGAGCTAGGGTACTGCATATGCTGGACAAGCACTCTACCACTGTGCTGCATCCCCAGCCAGCTACGTTCTCAAGCTAGGTAAGACAGGGCTAAGACAGCTGGTGCTTGTACATTCCTAACAGTAAGAAATCACTAGCAATTAGAGGCTTTAACACTAGGCAACCTTACCTTGCCTGAGCAACACGTTACCACATTTGGTGACTGCAATTTTAGTGTTGTCAATGGGACCTGGAGGATCTGAGTTGAAAGGAAAGAAGAATTAACAAAATGCACTTTTTAAGTAAACTCACCAAAGAACTACATCATTTTCTGTCTGAAATAATTGAGAGCTGTAACCAAATTATCAAGCAAATTATTAGAGCCTATTCTTTTTTTCTTTTCTCTTCTTTGCAGGGCTGCAAATCAAACCCATTGCCTTGTGCATGCTAGGCAGGCCCTCAACACTGAGCTACACCCCCAGCCCCACAACACAGTGTTCCCGAACCTCCTTGAGCTTTCAATGATACAAACAGCCCGCTACAGCCTGGGTGTCACAGGTTTGCCATCACTGCTGTAATGTAGTCTTAGTGTCTTCTCTAGTATTGCTTCCTTTTGGGGTCTTATCTGTCCCAGAACAGAGCCAAGAATGAAGGTGAGAGACTCCCTGAGTCCCATTACAAGTGAAAAAGAAATGATTTTCTCAGTTATCCATTTAGGGATTGCAAATCAGTGTGTACTTTTAATGCTACAAAAGAATAATTATTTTGTTAGGCAATAAACAAATTACATAGCTTTTAATTTGTTTCAGATTGTCACTAAAGTACATTAAAAACAATAAAGGAATTATAAAATGTTAAAGTATATCCTTTTTTTAATTAAATAAGGCTTTGTTTTTCCCGTGAATACAGAAGTACAGTGTACATACACCTTATTAAAAGCTCTACAGTAGGCACAAAGAATCTATAATCTCATTACAGAAGGATATGCAGATTTTTAATATCTGTGTAGTCTTTTTGTTTTTGCATAATGTTTGCTTTTAAAAAAATCAAGGGTTGCCAGGTGTGGTGGTGCACGCCTGTAATCCCAGCACTTAGGAGGCTGAGGCAGGTGGATCATTCCAAGTTCCAGACCAGCCTGGGCTACAGTGAGCTCAAGGCCAGCCTGAACTGCATAGCAAGACCCTGTCTCAAAAAGACCAAAAAAAAAAAAAAAAAAAAAAATCAAGGGTTCAAATTATACATATGGCACTACAACTTTTTTTCACATATCAAATATATCTGATTGGGGCTGGGGATTTAGCTCAGGGGCTGGGGATTTAGCTCAGGGGCTGGGGATTTAGCTCAGCGGCAAAGCGCCTGCCTGGCAAGCGCAAGGTCGTGAGTTCGGTTCCCGGTACCGGAGAAAAACCAAAAAAAAAAAAAAAAAAAAAACAAATATATCTGATTTTCACATTATTAAGTATTATCACATAAATTATTTTACAAGTCCACAAAGTACTCCATTATACTGGATAAACCATAATTTAATTACCCTCTTACTCCTGTATGCATTTCAAATTTTTCAGTATTTACAGCACAGACTAATTTTATTCAGTTACTTTTTTCCCACTATGAATATGCTATCATTAATAAAGTCGGTTTACAAAAAATTAAAAACAACAGGAATATAAGTTAGACTAGAATCTCTGAAATCAGAGATCTTTCTCCTTTTGTTTACTGGTATAATTCTAAGTGCACAGAGACACAAGAAAAATATTTGTCAAATGAATAAACAAAAAATTTGCAATTTTTCAGTTAACGACTTACCTCCATCTTTACCTTTCACAAAACTCTCCCATTCTCTAAACCACTGCATGCTGATGCAATAAAAAGTAGCTGGGGAGTCCTCCTCTTGGAATGCTCTGTTGAGCTACACAGAGGAAAAATCAGTTACCTGACATCTAGAACTTGTTTGTAGCAGAACAATACAATCACTCAAGCATTTGGGTTCTTTTGTTTTAGCCTGGTTTTTGGTTTCTCAAGACAGTCTTATTACCCACTCACAGCAATCCTTTCTTCAGCCTTCCCAGTGCTGAGATTACAGACATGCACCACCACGCCCAGCTAAGTATCTGGTTACTTCTCATGCACACAAAATGTGGTACTATAATACAATGTACACTGTTGTTAGCTAAGTAATCTTAGTGTAAGGAAATGTGGTAACAGCTATTAAACAATTCTAACTTGTATCTCAAAATTTAACAAGCACAAGACAGATGTAATGGTACACATGTATAATCACAGAAGACTGAGGTGAAAGGATCGCAGTAAACTTGAGGCCAGCCTGAACCGCATAGTAAGACCTTGTCTCACAAGGAGATACAAATGGCAAATAAATATATGAGAAAATGTTCAACATCATTAGTCATTCGAGAAATGCAAATTAAAACAATGCTGAGATTCCACCTTACCCCAGTAAGAATGGCTAGCATTAAGAAATCAACCAATAACAAATGCTGGCGACATTGTGGAGAAATAGGAATCCTTCTCCACTGCTGGTGGGAATGCAGACTGGTGAAACCACTGTGGAAATCAGTTTGGATATTCCTCAGACAACTAGGTCTAGAGCTCCCATTCAACCCAGCTATCCCCCTGCTGGGTATTTTCCCAGAAGATCTAAAAACATTGTATCACAGTGATATATGTGCACCTATGTTCATAGCAGCACAATTTGTAATTGCTAAACTGTGGAAGCAACCCAAATGTCCATCTACCTAGGATTGGATAAGAAAATTGTGGTACTTTTACATAATGGAATATTACTCAGTTATAAAGAAAGATAAACTTTAGACTTTTATAGGTAAATGGTCACAACTACAGACCATACTCATAAGTGAAATAAATCAGACATATATGTGCAAGCACTGCACTGTTTTACTAGTTTAAAACCTGAAAGAGTTAATTTAAACTAGGAGGTATGATAGACATTGTGAAATGATAAGAAAGCAGTCAAGGATAAAGGGCAATTAGGATGTGGGAAAAGAGAAGGGAAAGAAGGAGAAATTTGTATGTATGTATATACAACTATGTATTAACATAGTTGTTCTACTGTCTTCTATTTCTTTGCTGAAAGAAACTGTCAATAAGTCCTTGATTGATCAATATTGCATGTCTCTATTTGTTTTCATGAGAAACCACTTTGAAGATATCAATATGTAATATAACAAGCATTGTTAATTTCCTACCACAATGTTTGTAACTCTATATTATCTGTACTGTTCTTTTGCTATTTTGTAAAAGGTTGTCTGTCTGTCAATGTTTTCCTCCTTTCATTTTTAAAATTAAAAAAAAAAAAAAAAAAAAAAGACCTTGTCTCAAAAACAAAACAAGGCAGGTGTGGTGGTGCACACCTGTTATCCCAGCACCAGGGAGGCTGAGGCAAGAACATTGCCGCAAGTTTAAGGCCAACATGGGCTACACAGTGAGTTCAAGGTCAGCCTGAACTACATAGCAAGACCCTGCCACAAAAGAGAGAGAGAGGGACAGGAGAGAGGGAGGGAAGGAGAGAGGAAAAGAGAGAAAAGGAAAAGAGAAAAGACAAAAACAAAAATTTAACAAGCACATACAAAAGGCTATTTTTTAAAAAGTACTGGATAAGTGAAGATGGTCAAGGCAGTCTTCAACAAAAGTAACTTTTATAAGTTACTCCAAACACTTACAAAAAAGATCTAAATCTAAACATTCTATATCCAGGATCTAGATACATCTTACATCAATTAAGATACTGTGGACAGCCGGGCGTGGTAGCCCATGCCTGTAATCCCAGCACTAGGGAGGCTGAGGCAGGAGGATCGTTGTGAGTTCGAGACCAGCCTGGGCTACAAAGTGAGCTCAAGGCCAACCTGAACTGCATAGAGAGACACTGTCTCAAAAAGACCCCCCACACACACCAAAAAAAAAAGATACTGTGGACAATCTGCTACTACCAACACCAGCCCACAAATACTCTTACACATGTCACCGCCCAGGCAGCACATGCGCAAGTGCAGGTTAATTCTCCACAGCGGCAGGACAAACTCTGACACTGTTCCCCGCCCTTTCTTCAGCCCCAAGGCCTAGGGAGAGAGCATGCAATTTGAACTAGGTACGACTCTACTAAACATGGATTTCTTCAAGGAAGTGACCCAATGGTTAGAATGGAGTCATTCCAACGTCAATTTTTGTTAACTCGGCTACCTGGATTCTCAAACTTCTGGAGGTCTGGTTATTAAATTTGTATTTTCAGTCAATTTCATTTTTGCTTAAGTTACCCAGTCTGACTTCTGCTGGCAACTAAAGAAATCCCACTGACAGAAGCACTGGTATACAGATAGCAAAAAAATAATTATAATAAATTAAGTAAAAGAAAAAAATTTTGAAAAAGAAAGTGACAGCAGAACCTCAGAGAAATGAAAGGTACTTGGATTTTACGTAAATTGTAGTACTTAAGACTCCTGAAAGTCTTCCATTATTGGCAACTACCCATGGCTTATACTAACTGTGGACAAAGACAAGCACGTTCAGATTATGCCATCCCTCCAGGTAATCTAATCAAGACCCTGCAACTGTCCCCAAAGAGCTCTGCAACGGACCAGAAGCACCTCCATGATCTGACCTTATCTTCTAATGCTTCCTGCCTCATTTTATCCCCAGAACCACACAGATGCGTTCCTGCTTTGCGTGGCTACTGCACTAGTTAGTCCCTTTTTGCAGCCATCTAAATCATCTCTCACCTCCTTCAAGTCTTTGCTTGTAGGTCAAATCAGTGAGGGCTGCCTTCACCACTCTGTGTAAAGCGGCACCCGCTTTCCCTAACCCTCCTTCTCTCCTGTCCTCTCTCACCTGGTCAGTGTTTTCCTTCCCCAAAGTTCCTTAACTTTTAACACGTAACAATTAACGGTGAGGTCTCAAAGGGCAAAGACCTTTCTGGGGAAAGTAACTGCTTGGATAGAAAAGTGAAAGGGAGTGAATAACACTGGCTGCTGTGCCTCTGAGGTCTTGAGAAAGCAAGGTATGCCATATCAAGACCTCAGAGCATGCCAGTGCTTTCTGTAAGGCACAACTTGACAGAAAGGAGATTTCTGAAAGACAGCATGGGGCTGATTCTGCCAGATGCTGAACTGTAAGACCTATTAAGTCGATACCATTATCAGGTTAGACACTTTCAGGACTTATCTTTGTGTCTATGTGGGGACTTTTAAATTTAGTTCAACACAATCAGTGGGCCAGGGATACAGCTCAGTGGAACAAGCGCCTGCCTGGCAAGTGCCAAGGTCTTGAGTTTGACTTCCGGTACCAAAAATAAATAAATACACACAATCACCCCATTAATGACATTATTTTTCTCCAATTCTGGGAAATTTCTTCTGCTAAACTGTTGCTCTAAAAATAGTTCTTCCCCTCTATTCTTTCTCCTGAAATAAACACCAGATAAATACTGGATTCTACAACTACCCAATGTGGCAAAACTTTTCTTCCTGCTTCCCATCTGTCCCATCTATCCTTTCGTGCTTCATCTCAGGAGAAAACCTTCTGCTAAATCTTTCAGCACACCAATCTGCTCTCCATCCGCACTTCTTCTGCCATTCAATCAACTCCCCTACTGGGCTTGTTTTTTTCAGTATATGATATCCTTATTCAGCTTCCTGAGAATCGCTCCCATTGCTGTGCCCACATTCACTCCTCTATCGAGGCGAACGTCTTACACTTGCTGTCCTGGCAGAGCACAGTGGGTAGGAATGCAAAGGTCTTCATGGAATCTGACACTTCCAAGCTTAAATCTTGTGCTCATGGTGTGGCTTCTGGCTTGCTTCATCAATTTGATCCCATTTGTTCTTCCAGTTTTTCACAAGCTCCACTTAGTTTCCAGTTCATCAAGTATGCTTATGTTTGAGCTTCGGCATTATTATTATTTTGTTTGTTTGTTTTGGTTTTTTTTTTCTGGTACCGGGAATCAAACTCACGACCTTGCACTTGCCAGGCAGGCGCTGTGCCACTGAGCTAAATCCCCAGCCCTAAATTGATCTGGCTTCTAAGGTTTTTTTCTTTTTTTCCCCTGGTAGTGGGAGTGGAACTCAGGACCTTGCGCTTGCCAGACAGGCGCTGTGCCACTGAGCTAAATCCCCAGCCCAACATTATTTTTTATACTGACACACTTGTTTTGTTAAAACAAGGGGAATATATACATATAATCCTATGCTTGCTTTTTACTTTTTTTACTTTAGTGGTGCTGGGAACCAAATCCAGAGTTCCATCAATGCTAGAGAAGTGCTCTACCACTGAGCTATACCCCGTTTTATTTATTTATTCATTCATTCATTCATTCTTCAGAATTGCTTTTTTTTTTTTTTTTTTTGGAGATAGGGTACCCCTATATAGTCAAGGCTGGCCTCAAACTCACAGCAATCTTCCTACATCAGCCTCCTGAGTGCTGAAATTTGAATTGCATTTTAAAATAACAGTTTTAGGGCTGGGGATACAGCTCAGTGGTAGGCTGCCTAGCATGTTCCAAGGCCTGGGTTCCATCTCCAGCATTACCAAAAAAAATTTTTTAAACAAAGAGCTTTTTTAGGTATAAGTCACCCACTGTTACTGGAAAGTTCAGGGGTTTTGAGCAAATTTAGTTGCACAACCACAGTCCAGTTTACATAATTTCTAATACCTCCAAGAGCTACTCTGTACCAGTTTACAATCAATGATCTACTTTGTCTCGCTGGTTTTTCCCTCTTTAGAAGTTTCCTGGGGGTTGGGGATGTAGCTCAGCAGCACAGTGCCTGCCTGGCAAGTGTGAGGCCGAATTTGATTCCTGGTACTAAAAAAAAAAGCATTTTCGAAGTGGGCCTGAGGATGGAGCTCAGGGTCAAAGCACCCAATTAGCATGCACAAGGCCGA